GACTGTTTCCTAGTATGATTTGATTGCTTATTGTACCCTATGACTATTATTAAGTGTTGTACCTGATGATTCTTGACTCTGGATGGAAGTATCTTTTCTTTTATGCACACTGAGAGCATTTGCACCAAGACAAACTCCTTGTGTGCCCAATCACACTTGGCCAATAAAGAATTCTATTCAATTCTATTCTATTCTTTATCTATTTTCTTTTCTTTTCTGTTCTATTCCTTATTCTATTCTATTCTATTCTATTCTATTCTATTCTATTCTATTCTATTCTATTCTCTATACCATTCCATTCCATTCTTTAAACTGTTTCTTAGTATGATTTGATTGCTTATTGTACCCTATGACTATCATTAAGTGTTGTACCTGATGATTCTTGACTCTGATGAATGTCTCTTTTCTTTTATGTGCACTGAGAGCATTTTCACCAAGACAAATTCCTTGTGTGTCCAATCACACTTGACCAATAAAGAATTTTATTCTGTTCTTTCCTAAGTACCTGAACAATACCCCACTCTCTCTCATTTCTTTATTTTTATTTATTAAATCGATTTCCTGCCCATCTCCTCCATAAGGCAACCCTGGGAGTCTTACAACATGTAGCTTACTCACCAGTATCCTTCCTTCTTCAGGTACTGAACGTGGTCCTTGTAAAGGACAAAACTGATTTCTGCTTTTACTTTCTCCCCTTCTTCAATGGGGTCAACCAGTAAGAAATCTCCTATAGGGAGGGAGCAAAGGACAGACAGCTGTGACAGGGGGGTGGGAAAGGGGGAACAAGGAGGCCCATTTTCCCTCCTGCAAATGCAAGGGCCTGCAGCCACTCACCTCTCTTGATCCAGATGTTCTTACGGAACTTGTTGGGCATGCTCACCAGGAAACGCGTCCCCTCAGGGGTTTCCACTTCATGGAGGTTGTTTCCTGGTGTCCCGAGCACCTGGAGGGACAAGAGCAAACTTGCCGGTAAGAACTCGGCCTGGTTTGTGGCTTAATCTGAATTAAGTAGGGCATCCGTCGGAACCCTGACACTGAGCTTGGTCTCTGTTCGCATGGCACACTGAGCCTGCCCAGCTAGACCAGCGATAAATCTATCACACATGTCAAGGAGGACATGCCACAATGTTGAAGGGTGACACACTGCCCTTCAACACCACCAGGCAATGAAGGTTACAACAGAGAGATAACATATCGGATTATCAGTGTACTAACAGAAGCTAGAATTGTATTTGCACAAAATTGGAAAAATGAGAAAACTCTGACAGAGGAGGAAACAATTAAGAAAATAATGGAAAATAATGTGCGGAAATGAGTAGTTTGACAATGGCAAATAAAGAACAGGAAGAAAAAGGTTATTATATGATTTGGAACTTATTCTATGAATGGCTAGATAGAAGAGTAAGAAACTGAAACATGTGACAATAGTAATAACATATTATAACTGATTGATTTGGATTGAATTAGAAAATGAATATAACTTGGGTGTAAGGATGGAATATATTTTTGAAAGATAATAATTACAATGTTAATGATAATATAACAATTGACCAATGTGTTATAAAATATCGATCAGAATGTTTGTAAATATAAACAAGTAACTATTGCATATTATGTGCACAAGATATATGTACCCAACCAACACAATTGTACAATTGTACAACTGTACAATTGAAAGATGGTTTTATTTGTTGCTTTTGTTATAAAAATAAAAAACTTTTTCAAAACAACAACAGCACCAGATAGCAACTATTTGTCAGGTGAGGCTCCATTCAAAATCCAAGAAAGAAAGCCTTAGACTCCACTGTTATAGAGAAAAGGACTTTTACTGAATATGAAGTGGGAGCAATGGAAGAAATACAAGATGTGAGGCCACGCATCTTTCACATATAGAAAGTTATCCCAAGTCCCCACCCCCAACAATTCAAACTGGACATCCAATCTGAGGTGTGTATAGTGTCATGTGGTTACATCTTCAGGTGGCATCTCAGACACCTGGTATGCCAAGACTGTTGACCTTGGCCTAGAAAGGATGAGTGGCTGCGTGTGCACAGTAAGCAGGAAAGCATCCCAACTTTTACAGTTCACACAACTTCAACCTCCAGCTCCTTTCTCCCCAGGAAGCCCAATTATTCCTCTCCCCCGTTTCTTATGGCAGCCGGAAAGAGTCAAGCTGAAGAAGGAATCTTGGAGGCTGACACTATTCTTGAAAACACACCCAATTCTCACAACATTTTTCGAGGCCACGGGAGAATGTAGCAGGCTCTTGTGCAGCCTTTGGGTATCCACATGAAGCTCTTAAAAGATTCAGGCTAACTAGGTTAGGTTAACCAGTCTTACCCGGACAATCTGCTGCCTCTCTGAAGGAACCACATAGTCCCCTAGCACTTCTTTGACCACGTGTTTGCGTTTGGTCGCCTGGGACATGATGCTCGGTTAGCCACCGTAAACAGATTCTGTGCTGCGATGAATTGCTTCCAGGATGCGTCCACAATGTTGAAGGCTGCAAAAAAGCCATGGAACAATTGACTTTCAAAAGGCAGAAAGCAAACAGTTTTGGGGCACTTGATCTGCAGATCTCATTACCCATATTGGGCAAGGCCAGGGCCAAAAAAAATAAAATGCTTTAATTAAACTAAAACCAGCAGTGATTTTAACTGTGGCAAAAAAAAAAAAAAGCTCGTAAAATGGGGCAAACTTCTCTTTTAACAGCTGTCTCGCTTAGCAAACAAAAGTTGGGTCTCAGTTACGGTTGCAAGTCGAGGACCACCAGTAGACATTCCTTCAGTTTGGAGAGTCAAGAGACAGACCTGTTTCCAGGACCAGCCAATGTCGTTGCAGAGGAAGGAGTGTGGATCCAGTGCTGATTTCGCTCCTTGGTTCATTCACACTTCTGAAGGAGCTGGGGACGGAGAGGACATTATTATTCGATTTTGAAACGCCTTAAACATTCGGAGATGTTATTCCCCATAATCCAAAGCTCTCCAAACGTGGCAACTTTTAAGACTTGTGGACTTCAACTCCCAGCTATGCTGGTTGAGGAATTCTGGGAGTTGAAGTCCACAAGTCTTTTTTTTTTTTTTTGACAATAATTTTTATTGTTCTTTTTCACCTTTTACACATACTGATCTTAATTTTAACAGTGCTATGTCATCATTATTACACAAATTATACAAATATCTACATTTATAGACCTTTGTATACATTCATATACCTTTCTCTATAATTTTCTTATCACCTTTATCCTTATTTCTATTGTTCAACCATTTATACCAATTATCCCAAATTTTGTAAAGTTGCCAAGTTTGGGGACCCCTGCCAATATTCATTATTATTATTTTTAAAAAATCCCCATTGATTCATTGCTCTGTTCATGACATTTTCCCACATTTTTTGTACCAGTTTTGCATAACCTGAGAGTACAGGAATTCCACAAGAATGGATTAACACATGAACTGAATTTATTTTATTTGGCCACTTGTGATTTAGACACGCAAGGAATTGGTCTCCACTACAAAAGCAACATTAATAAATAATAATAATAATAATAATAATAATAATAATAATAATAATAATAATAATAGTGCCAATAAAAGGGGGAGTAAGAAAGATATTAAGAATAAGCAATAATACTACAGCCACACTACATGGCTTAGCAAATTAGGATTTATTTAATTAATTTATTATTAAATTTATTATTAGAACTTATTTAATTAAATTGTTCGGATTTAACCATTTGTTAACAAAGAACAACAGAAAAGGACAGGGACACGTGAAGAGAGCAAGCCCCCCCTTCCTCACGGTCTTGAGGACCCGAAATTCTCCTAGCAATTCGACCATCCCGGCTGCATCAAGTAGCAGCGAGTTCCGCAGGCACAGCGGAAGACCCCCCTTTTCCCATATCCCGAGCCCGCCCTGGGTTTCCCCGGCTTCCAAGCCGGCTCCCGGGTGGCCAACAGCCCCGAGGACCCCCCACCCCCCCCGAAATAGCCGCTCCCCCCCCCCCCAGCCCGGCTCTACCCACGAGACCTGCTCAGGGACTGCTACGCCTCGCGTCTCCTCCGAAACCAGAGAAGCGTGACTTCCGGCTTCCGGTTCCGAGGGAACCACTTCCGGGTCCATCGGTCTAACCGGTCCTGCCGGGCCGTCAAGGCCGCAGAGCGAATGGTTCCGCCTCGGGCGAAGGACGCCGGCGAGGTTAAGCCGGTTTGCTAGTACGTGTCGCCGGGAGTCTGGGTCGTGGTGGGGGAGATACGGAGCGGTCCGCTCTGAAGTGGCTGGCCAGAGCCTCGGAGGCAGAATTTCCGGGCTGCTTTAAGAAGGGTGAACTACAACTCCCAGAATTCCCCAGCCAGCTCTGGATTTGAAGTCTACACTCTTAAAAGCTGGCAAGGCTGAGAAACGTTGCCTTAAACCAGAGCTCGCCAAACTGGGCCACTTTAAGACTGGTGGAGTTCAACTCCCAGAATTCTCCAGCCAGCTATGCTTTCATATTTCATTTGTCTTTCCTGTTCTTGGGGTTAGGATTGGGGAAAAAACTGGTTTTATCCACAGTCTTTTTTTTTTTTGGGGGGGGGGGGGGGGGGAACTGTTTTTATTCTTTTTTATCCTTTATTTTCTTTTATTCTTTTATTCTTTTTCCTGCCACTGTCCTAGTTTCGATGTGTGTGTGTGTATGCGCTCCCTATAGCTTCCTACACATTAATGATCACTAACAATATTTGCTTATCCATTTTAGAGAACTTTCCTTATATAATTGGTGTTTAAAATACCCAACAAACTATTTCTGGTTTTAAATCTGTATGTTGCTTTTCCATTGTTTCTAACCGTGACACCACTAACTCTTAAACTGAAGAATAAATTTCAGGAGAAGATTTCAGTATTGTTCCATGAACCTACCTATGAAATTGATTCTTCCTGATCTAACTTGTTAGATGAAAAACTATTATCTTTCTTGTTTGTTTGACCCCCAGTCATATCCTGAAAAGAATGTACATTGTTTTGGGTGAAAACAGAGATCCCTTCTTTTAACACTAGTCCTTTGCTTACAAAGCACTTTTTTTCCTTTTGCAGGAGTAGCCTTTAACAGGAAGGATGAAAAGGCAACCGAGTTTGGCCAGTTTTTTCCCCAAGAAACCAAAACTGGTCCGAATTGGTCTTGGATGATCCAAAACCACCACAAGCATCACCACTTCAACTTGGAGAAAGCAGCAAGTGAAGTATTGAGTCATCCTAGCCCAAAATTGAAATTAATCTTCCAGACTGCTGGAATGTGCAACTTGAGAAGTTGAGAAACTTTCAAGAGAAGTTATGAGGGACTAGAAGTTTCAATCAAGAAATTAGATTGCAAGTTCTGTGCGAAACATGACTTTGCAATAGGTTTTCATGCGTCCAAAGGATGGAAACATTTCAAGATTGAGGCATCTGGGGAAAATGAAGAAGCACAGCAAGCGATTGTTAAGGAAACAAATGAGAATTGAGTGTTTTACATCCAAAGCTCACACCATTTGCACAGAGAGCATAAAGCAAGGGGAGAAGGAAGCTGTAACAAAAGGAATTGACAAGATATCTGAAAAACATAAAAAGGCACGACTTGCAACGATATTGTCAGAACAATTAAGTTCTGCAGAAGCGGAAAGGTTTTTTTTTCAAGAATGAACCTCATATGTTCAGAGAGCAGAAGTCGCCTAGCCATTTCTAATTTAACCAACCTCATGACTATCGGGGTTAACGGCCCACCCCTTCCAAAATGGGATCCTATTCCTGCCGTGAAAAGGTGACTAACCATCACACAGCCGATGATCCGAGAGTCAAGATCAAGAAAAGTGGAAGTGAGGAGAGTGCCAGTGTAAAAAACGATGTGGAAACATCTTAGACGACTAACGCTTTTATCTAAGTATTTGTGCGCCTCTTTTATTCTGTGTACTTCTTTTGTTATTTAAGTATTAAATGTTTAAATTGGTATTATCTCCTTTTTGTAGGTCATTGTCAGTGGTGCAAAGAAGTGACATCGATTTGGCCACGCCCACCAGAAGGAACAGATCAGACCTCCAGCCCTTGCTTATCAAGGGAGACCGAGTGGAGCAAGTGGCCGGTTTTAAGTTTCTGGGTGTCACCCTAAAAGAGGACCTGACCTGGGGGGCTCACATTGCAGCCCTGGTCAAAAGGGCCCAGCAGAGATTATACTACCTGAGGCTTCTCAGGAAACAACAACCGGATGAAAAACTGCTGATGACCTTCTACCGCTGCACCAGCGAGAGTATCTTAACTCACTGCACCTCTGTATGGTTTGCCAGTTGCACAGTGGCAGATAGGAAAGCACTCCAGAGGGTGAATGTCATTGCCCAGAGGATCATGGGTTGCCCTCTCCCCTCTTTGGAAGAGCTTTATAGCTCCCGCTGCCTTAAGAAAGTTCAAAACATCCTCAAAGATCCATCTCATCCTGGGAATTCTTTTTTTGAACTATTACCATCTGGCAGA